CCAGACAGCCATTATGGTGAAAGTTGAGCTGGAGGGGCGCGACCTTCTTACTGCGAAGGAGTGGGAGGCCTCCTCAGCTGCCTTGGACGCTGTTGTTGCCTTGGAGGGGGAACTCAAAAAGGCTCGCACGGAGGCTCAGGCGTGGAGGTCCACCTCTGAAGCTGACAAGGCCGAGATAAAGAGTGCCCAAACAGAAGCTGCTCCACACCTGGAGAATCTGAGAGGCACACATGTCGTAGTCAAGTGCCTTGAGAAGGAGAAGTTCGCGCTGATGAAGCAGAACGATGACCTCAAACGCCTCTGAGACGAACTGGAAGGCAAACTAAAGGCTCGAGATGCCGAGATGGCGAACCTGAAGGCCAAACTCGAGCTCGAAGAGTCCAAGCTCCACAATGGGGTTCTTTTAGAGGAAGCGTTTCACAAGCATCCTGACTTCGACGGCTACGCCAATGACTTCGGTGATGCTGGCTTTAGATTCTTGATGAAAGGAGTCCAGGAAGTCGCCCTCGAGCTTGATCTCGCGCCCATCAAGCTTAGGTGTGTAGAGAAGTGGGCTTCTGGTCCCAATGGGACCCTTGGCCCTCAGGACTCCGTGGAGCAATGCTTGAAGGAGCTCAAGTTTGACGCCTGATAATACACTGATGCAGGGTTTCTAGGGCAAGAGTCATAAGTATGGTCACCTTCACAGTAGGAACATGAGACTGCCATTACCTTACTTGATCCTGGATTAGCGGACGATGTTGTAGCAACACTCATGTTCCTTATCATGTTGGTTAGGTTTGCTATTTGATCTTTTAGAGAAGTCATCTCCATGTTGCTGGCAGCCCCATGGTTTCCTCTGTCATTTATAGCTCTGGAATCTGACCAATGGTAGTTATTGGAAGAGATTCTCTCCACGATGTCCACTGCTTTGGTATATGACTTAGATAGCAATGCTCCATTCGCAGATGCATCAACCACCATTTTGGTCGCTTCATTCGGCCCATTATAGAATGTTTCTATTTGAATACATTTTGGTAAACCACCATGATGCGGACATCGTCTAAGTAGCTCCTTGAACCTTTCCCATGACTCGCTCACAGATTCTCCTCCTCTTTGTTGGAAGTTATTGATATCTGTCCTGAATTTAGCGTTCTTACTCGGAGGGAAGTACTTTATTAGTAATTTTTCATCAAGGTCATTCCATGAAGTAATGGACTCTGCTAGCATAGAGTTCAACCAGTCTCTTGCCTTGTCCCTCAATGAATATGGGAATAGTTTCAGCCTTAACGCTTCCTTTGATACTCCTTGCATCTTAAAGGAATCACTCACTTCAAGGAAGTATCTGAGATGGAGATTTAGGTCTTCACATGGATTCCTATAGAACTGTCTCACTGTTTGCAGCATTTGAAACATCACAAGTTTCAATTCAAATCGCTCAGCTTCTATCTCTGGCCCTACTATGACTGGGTGAAAACCATGAAGTGCTGGCGCAGCATAAACCCTAATAGCTTTATCTCCATCGTCTGCCAACAGAATGGCATTTAGAGGGGGCACGGCTGCTGGTTCAGCCATGTCTCCTCCATGTTATTCTTTCACAACTGGGGAGCGTTGGTGGTTGATCCATGAGGTTAGTCTCCACTTGCTGATGACGCTATTCTCTTCTTCGTTGGTGGAATGTGCGTTCAATTTCGTTGTCAAGCAAGTACTCTAACCCTTGCAAATCGTGAATTCACCTTCAAAGTTCACCAATACAATAGTCAAAGATCTAGAGTAAAATTTCTTTAAGCAAAATACAGAGTGTAAGGCAATTTAGTCCCCGATAACGGCACCAAAAACTTGTTGTCCACTAATTGTGCTACCAATTCTTCTATGTGTAAGTGTACACAATCGTCGCAGCAAGTAATAAAAGTTCAAATCCTCAGAGACTAAATGCTTAAACACTCGATATTCACTCAAGAAAATACTACAACAAGCAATGGGATTTTCTTCCAAATAATACTAAACAGTGATGAGATGAAAACCTTGAAATAAGTATCTTAATGTAAACACACAGTATAAGTTCGTTAAAAGTACCAAGCATCCACAATCACTCAGTATTATCTTGTAAAATAAAGGTGCAAGGGGGCGAGTAAGTCGACTATTCTAGGCTACCCTAACTATGCTGTAACATTAATGGAGTAAGTGCAGTGGTCAAACAGACAAGATGCTTTTCCAAACACCCATGATTTTTTACTATTAACATTCATAGACAAACATCAATAACATATACACACAGTTTTTATGACCAAGCTAGGTGATGCTTATCCCTAAGTTATCACACGCTAAACTTAAGTAGACTCTAGCTCGAGATGAAGGGTTTTGTTCCTTAACACATTTTTCCAAACATCATCAAAGAGGTATTTCAAAATGGTGATCAAGCACATTGAAACTAGAATGATAAACAACTTCAACTCAAAGCACACTTCCATTAAAACAAATAGCACGTTTACAGCCCAGAAAACAAGTCTAGAACATCTCCCCCTTACACAAGTCGCTAGCTACGCAAAGTCATAAGGAGAGTTAAGCAAAATGTAAGAATGAAAATAATACAAATATGAGAAAATGAAGAAAAATGAGCTGAAGATCAGCTCCAAACTGCCACTGAAGAGTTTTCTTCTACTCTTTGCTTGCTCAGCGGTTCTACAAGAGAATTCCTTAGAGTAAGAGTGGACTTCTTCCAAGAATGAGTGAAGGGGAATGTTTCTTGAGGTGTGTGCCTTCGGAGGCTTCTTCTCTTGGTTGTATTTATACCCCCTTCAGATACTAGGGCAACAACGCGGACCTTGAGGAACTCAGCTCTCACTTTTGGGTAAAACCTCCAATTACTGTGCTAAATCCCGTTGTGCAGTCCTTTCACTATCAGCTTGTCGTTTTCTGCTGTTCTCTGAATCTAGATCTTGATGCTGCAGCATCATCAAAGCTGCAGCAAAATGCAACAAAATTAGTTCTATTGCAATTGACAATACTACCATGTAGAGAGCTGGTGCTTATGATCTTTTTAGCACAAAAACAGTGAATAAAGGTGCAAGTGATGCTATTTTTAGCTAATTTATACCAACATTATACCCAAATAACTCTCTATTTGGAGAGTTATCAACCACCGTTCGGGGCACGAACTGGATGTCATACTCCCTCAGTTTTATGACCCATTTCATCAGTCGGTGGGACGTTTTTGGCTTATGAAAAACTTGCTTCAAAGGCAAGTTTTTGAGCACAATCACAACGTGGGCTTGGAAGTACGGCCTCAGTCTTCGGGCCGAGGTGACCAAGACGAGGGCCAGTTTCTCCATTTAGGGGTACCTGGTCTCAGCCTCGGTCATGGCCTTACTCGTGTAATAAACAGGACTTTGTCGCACTTCGTCTTTTTTAATTACGGCCGAACTGACTGCGTTATCGGACACGGCCAAATATAAGTGTAGTTTATCTCCGGGCATGAGCTTTACAAGCAATGGCACCGAGCAGAGATAACTCTTGAGCTCTTCGAAGGCTACCTCACACTCAGCTGTCCACTCGAATAGCCTCTTCGTTCTTAACACTTTGAAGAAGGGGATGCACTTGTCGATAGACCTGGAGACAAACCTGTTGAGGGCAGCAATCTTCCCATTAAGACACTACAATTGCTTGAGAGTTCTTGGGGCTTGCATTTTGAGCACGACCCTTATCTTCTTCGGGTTGGCCTCTATTTCTCGGTTATTGACCACAAACCCAAGAAATTTGCCAGATGAAACTCCAAAGGCTCATTTGGCAGGATTTAACTTCATCCGGTACTTCTGGAGAACTTCGAAGGTTTCCATCGGGTCGGACAGGTGGGACCTGGACTGCTTGCTCTTGATAAGCATGTTGTCCACGTAGACTTCCATGTTGTGTCGGATTTGGCTGACGAACATCTTGTTTACCATCCTTTGATAAGTTGCTTCTGCGTTTTTTAGACTGAAGGGCATGACCTTATAACAGTAAAGGCCTTGATCGGTTATGAAAGAGGTGTGGACTTGGTTTGGTTCGTGCATCTTTATCTGGTTGTATCCGAAGTAGGCATCCATGAAAGTGAGCAGCTCATGCCCGGCCATAGCGTCCACGAGTTGGTCGATCCTCGGCAGTAGGAAACAATCTTTTGGGCAAGCTTTGTTGAGATTGGTGAAATCTACGCACATTCTCCACTTTTCGTTAGATTTTTTAACTAAGACCACGTTAGAGAGCCACTTGGGATACAAAATTTCTTTGATGTATTCAGCTTTTAAAAGTTTTTTTACTTCCTCAACAATTACATCACTCCTCTCCCTATTTACAGGTCTTTTTTTTTTGCTTGACAAGTCGGAATGATGGGTCGATGTTGAGGCGATGAACCATAATCTTCGGATCTATGCCCGACATGTCCTTATGAGACCATGCGAACACGTCCGAGTTCGCCCTGAGGAAGGAGATGAGCTCCTCTCTATCCGCGACCCCCAGCTTCGTGCCAATGCTCACTTGCTTTTTTGGGCTGAGCAAAGGGACAAGCTCCAACTCTTCTGTAGGCGCAGCCACCTCTTGCTGGCTGGTCTTGGGCAGCTCGTCCTTGGAAGCTCGAACTGCTAGACTTGGAAGATTTGCTAGTTCTTCCAAGGCGCAGACTGCCGATCCTTTGAGTGTCGAGGTATAGCACTCGCGGGATGTTTTCTGCTCCCCTCAGATCATGCCAACCCCATTAACTGTAGAGTACTTCATGACTTGGTGCAGAGTCGATGGGATGGCACGAAGTGAATGAATTATAGGTCGTCCGTAGATGGCATTGTAGGCCGACCTTCCGTCTATTACCACGAACTCGGCCATCTAGGTGACTTGAGTGTCACCTTGACCGATTGTAATGGGGAGATCAATGCACCCCTCCGGAGTGACAGATTCTACTGCGAATCCAACTAAGGACTTTTCTTCAACTGTGCCCTGGTCCATCCTAGTGCTAAATAAGTGGTGAGAGATAGGATGTTGGCTGAAGCACCTCCATCGACTAACACCCTTCTGACCTGCACATGGTCGATCAGCGGCGAAATCACCAAGGTGTCATTATGGGGCAAATGCACCCCCTCAAGATTAGAGTCGGAGAAGGAGATAGGGTAGGTCGGCTTCTGCTCCTGGATGATGCAGACTTCGCGCCGAGCTTCCCTAGCTAGCTCCTTCCTTTTACTTTCTGAGTGGCCCCCACTCGGGCCTCCGAAGATGGTATTAATGACCGCAGGTCGGTCATCCTTTCTTGATGGCGTCCTTGAATGCTTCCTCTCTTCTTTCTTTTCTACTGAGCTCGAGCCCGGCTTACGAACATACGTCTTGAAGTAGCCATCTTGATTCAAGTCTTCAATTTGGCACTTCAACTCCCAGCAACTTGAGGTATCATGGCCGTGGTCGCGGCGGAAACGGCAGTACCTGTCCTTGCTATGCTTGAAGAGTTTCTCCAACCCATTTTCCTCTATGTTGGTGAGGATATCGGAGATCGGAATAATGGTTGGGGTGTACCTTTCATAAGACCCCCTTCGATTGGAGTCCGAGTCGGATCTCCTGTAGTCAGATCGGCCCTTAGAGGGTTGAGAAGACGATCCCTTGTCTTTGGACTTAGGATCAGACTTCCCTTTGTCCTGGCCACCTGATTTCCTCTGGTCGAACCTCTTGTCTGTCAGACCTAGCTTGGTTCTAAGCAGCTCTTGCCCATCTATGACCTTCTTGGCCTTCTGCAGGACCTCAACGAAGGTTGATGGTGCTTCTTCGCCCAGTTTAACCTTTGAGTTTCGTCGGCCAGGATGGTAAGGAAATAGCACTTGGCCGAGTCATCAGAGCAGTGCAAGACCTTAAGCTGCTCCTCTTGGAAGCGGGTCACGTACTCTCTCAAAGTCTCGCCTTCCTTCTGTTGGATGGTGGCGAGGTGGGTGGCAGTCTTTCTATCGTAATGCCGAAAAGAGAATTGGCTAATGAACTCTTTCCTCAGCTGACTATAGGTCGAGATCAACCTCGCCAGCAGCCTTCTGTACCAGAGCCGAGCACTCCCCGTGAGAGCGATCGGAATGGCTCGACACTTAATGGCGTCAGACATCGCTTGGAAGTCCATGAGGCCCTCAAAGACCTCTACGTAGTCCTTTGGGTCCTTAGACCCGTCGTAGGGCTTCATGGCTGGCGTTTTGAACTATGGAGGGATTGGGGCCTCCAATACGTCAGAGGTGAATGGCGATTCACCAATCTCGCCATCATCAAACTGGCTTTCTTTCTTTTTGCAGTTAGCCTTCAGTGCCTCGACTTGTTCGTTGAATCTGTGTTTCTTCAGGTTGAACTCTTCCCTCGTAATCACGGCCTCTGGCGTTAATAGCGTGTACTTTGACTGGGCCTTGAGGTCGGAGTTGGAATATTTTTTAGAGCAGGATGATGAAATCCCTGGGCCCCGTGAGGCCTTCATCTTCTTATCGACGAGGTGCTTCCGAAGGTCATGATCCCTCAAACTATAATTGATCCCTTCGTTATCGGCAACCGGCTCATAGTCATCGGGGTAGATGGGTGGATCCAAGTCATCTCCATCTTTCGACAGGTCGTCCGTCCCTTCTGAGGCCTTGAAATGGGACCCAGTTCGGTTTGCCCTCATCATCTCATTGTACGTTTCCTCCATGGTGCGCACTCGGTTGCGCATATCGTCTAACTCCCGTTGAATGGTGGCGAGAACTTCAGGGTCGACAGCAGGCGCGGCCCTTCGTGAGATCTTTTTCGAGGTCTCACCTCGACCTCGGTTGGTCTTCCTAGGCCTCGGATGTACCGGAGGCAGGACGATATTGGCATTGCGGGTGGACCTCCGAGCTGGCTCCACTTCCTGTCCTACTCTGGCCTGATCTTCGGTCACTTTGGCGTCCAGCTCGCTGAGTGCCATTATTTCCGTTCAAGGCTCTCCGTTCGGTCGTGTTTGCAGATCCTTTTGGCTGAACCATCTCGGACCAGTCTATTTTAATTGTTGGGACGACTTGTAATGTCCTTCCCCACAGACGATGCCAAATTTTTATGCAAGGATTTGCACAACGTCAATCTAGCTCGAACTCGATCCTTGCTCCGACTCGAAACGCGAACGGAAGACCTGCACAAGAGGGCAAAATCTCCAGCGCTCAAGTCAGTAAGCAGCTTGGACTCAATATTAAGTTCGAGGAGAAATTCGATACCTGACAGTGAAATGAGGCCCTCTATTTATAGGTTTAGGTTCTGACAGGGGTTACGACAAGCAGTTACCTCGATCGGATTTCAGGTCGGATGTGTCAGGTTTGAGCAGATCGAACTCGGACACTTCCCTGGGGATAATTGTTTGGTTCCTTAATAGGGAATGACAATATTTCCATCTCGGAAGGATCCGAGATGGAGCTCACTCAATTTGTTTCTCTGAATCTTCTTTCAATGACGAGTCCCCGTCCTCCACGTGGCAATGGGATATTTCATCCCCAAACAAACATCATTTTTCGAACAATATTAAAAGATCTTTTTAGAATAAATAATTTAACTAAAATATATTTGTAAAAATATAATTGAATTTGAAAAAAGAAAACAAAATAAAATTATATTAAAAATAATTTAAAATTAGTAAAAAAAATAAAAATATGAACGTTGTCATGTCATTAAAATCGAGTCTTTCGTTGGGATGTTGCAGTAGCGATAGATCGAAAATTTCAAATGTACATAAATATAATACATAAATATTAATTTTAAGGGATCTTTTTTTAATATTATTTATTATTAAACTTATTCAAAAAATATATCATCCATCAGACTATTTTCATTATTTCGACAAATTGTGTATTTTCTTTTTTTTTTAATTCACAACATGACGACAACTTGTAGATTTTGACCTCAGGGTTTTTTCTCTTTTTTTTTTCCACAAAATCTCTTTTACTTATACGTGGTGCAGCCCAGATTTTTTTAATATTTCATAAAAACAAAAATTAAATTAAATTTAACTAAAAAATATCTGACAAAATTTTAAAACAAATCAAAAAATCTATTTTTTAAAAACAAGCTTTAAATTAAATTTAACTATAAAAAACCTAACAAAATCTTAAAAAAAACATATTATAAAACAACCCATTTAAAAAAAACAAACTTTAAATTCGGTTTAAGTATAAAAATTCTAACAAGATCTTAACTAAAAAGCATATTATAAAACAACCCATTTAAAAAAACAAACTTTAAATAGGTTTAAGTATAAAAATTATATCAAAATCTTAACTAATTGTTATTAAACATGTAAATTTTAAACTAACTCTAATTTTTTAAAAATTAGATGGGATGGTGTTATCTTATATTCTAGAAAAATGTCGGCTTGTTCCGTGGCAAAACATTACTGTTGAGTCATCGATCTCCAACTCGGAATCATACACCACTTATTTTTCGGCCTTCACCAACCTCTCATTCATTCGCCACTTCGATCTGCAAAATGATAATTTTAGTAAAAATTCATTTCCTACCTATGACATTTATACTTGAATTCTAAGTCTCCACATAACAATTTCCTATGATCAAGTCATCGTTCTATATTTTTTATAAATATTTATGGAAGAGGTATCATTATATTTAAAATTTTTAATGATAAATTTAATCTAAAATTTGAATGCTTAGTTAGTTAAATTAATTTATTTTAAGATTTTGTTCTAAATAGGTGGTCAGATTTTATAACTATTATTTTTGTAAATAGTTTAGTGAATGATATATTTTTGGAATAAGTTTAATAATAAGTAATATTAAAATAAAAGTCTAATTTTAAGCATGAATTTAGCAATGCGTATCAATTTAACCTTAGATAACTATTGTAACGTAAAGTGTCAAATTTTACCATTTGATAAATTTTCATGTAAAAAATTATCGAAACAAATATGCTCATATATGTCAAATGTGTTAGAAAATATATGATTGGTATGAAATTGATACGATTTAGGAAAAAAAAACGACAATTAAAGTTAAAATTTTCGCTCTTAAATTTATTAATCTTGACAAGGCTATGTGAGGGTGGATTTTGTTCATGAATAAAACTTAAATTTTTTTTAGTATTAAATTAGTGAACTTTTGTAGATTTTTTTTGTTTAAATTAATAGATGAATAAGCAGAATTTCACAATGGATTGGAAGCGAAAGACCATATACAATTTTCATGTCTTTTAGGAGTGAGAAAACTACCTCGAAAAACCCGACCGCCTAAAATTGACCCAACCGACGTCGTGGCAGAGGAAAAATCTAATGCTTCACTTACCAAAATTTCTGATCTTCTTCCTACTACTATGGTCGTGGAAATGCAAATTTAAAAGGATGTTTTGGCAGTGGAGGTGGTGTAGTGTGGGCCCTATGACTTTTGTCAAATGACATGGCCAATAACTTTGTGCATACAATAGTTCAACAACATATATAAACATATATATAGAAGAAGTGAAAGTGTGAATGTTACTCAAGTCGTACAGACGCACTATCTCAAACTCGATACAATAGTTCAACAACATATATATAGAGGAAGTGAAAGTGTCAATCTTACTCAAGTCGTACAGACGCACTGAGTGTATATCTGTTACAGCAACAAATGCATTCTTCAAACCAATGGAAGAATGAGAAGAGTCGTATAGAGAAAGAAAAAATGGAAAAAGGCTATGTGCTTTTGCGGGAGGAAGAAAATGCTTTGTGCTTTTGAGAGAAGGAAAACCCATAATTATTTAGTCTCTTAATACACTTACTCTCTCCATATTTCTACAACCCTAAAACTGTTTTATAGTTGTTGTGCTGTATAGTGGTTGATAAAGATGCGCGAAAGTGTAATTGTCACTCAAGACACGTAAACGTACGATCGCAAACTCGACAAAGATTCTGTGAAAAAGACCACAAACCAGTGCTAGATGCACCAACAGACATGTTTAACAAAGACTTTGGGAGAAGAAAAACGTGATATGATATGATTATTTAGTCCATCAATATACTTACACCCTCTATATTTCAAAAACCCTAAAACCTCATTTTTTATTTTCAATATCATTTTTCATCTTAATATTTTAACATTGTACCTCTATTTTTTTTATTTATATTTGAGATTTTTTCACTACAACTTAAATTATTATTTTACGTTTCATGATATTTTCCCAAATCTAGAAGTTCAAAGAATTTCATATTTTCCCTAAAAATATGAAATCCAAATATTGACTATGTATGAAAATAATTAAATCAGTTACTTTTTAAAATATTAATTTTGTATAGGTCGTTAGAACTCATATTGTTACTAAAATCAAGCTCGTTTTTATTTCAAGGGTATATTTGTAACAAAAAAGGTAAATTTTTAAAATAATTTTGGTCATTTTGTTTAAGGGTATATCTATCCAAATTGAAGAAGAAAATTGAACTATAACTATTTGTTAGCCATTATACATAACAATGTCAAATACTTTTGGCCATTTCTCTTGTTATCTTTTTTTTTTTTTTCTCACAACTTGGCAAAGGAATTTGATAGGGTTTTCTTTTTATTTATGTCGAGATTTCACGTGGAGGGGTTAAGTCAATATTGGAAATGAATTTGGAAATGATTTTAACATTGCAAGAATGCACAAAATAAATAAAGAATTAGTATATTGATAGGTTAAAATGGTTGATTTGGGAGGTTACATTTTAAAATAACTAATTTTATTGCAACTTTACACTTTCTTAAAATAAAAAAATACCCAAATTACCAAATCTCAAAAATCTTTTCATCTTCTTCATCTGAAAACATCTATCCACCGGTTTCTTCTCTGAATTTGTCATTTTCTAAATAAACTCCTCTTTTTTAGTTAAATGGCAAGATTTCCCAAGAATATCAACAACTCTTAGATAATGCTCCAGGATTGGTTCCATATTCAAATCATTTTCCATCGAATTAAAGTAAAATATACCTTCCTCCACAACTTTAACCATGAAACAAGCGGCTAAAACCGCCAAAAAAATGTTTATGAATTTGCTAGAACAAAGCCACCCATCATCTCCTTCCCCATTCTCGGCATACCCCTTATCATCAAACCATTAGCTTCAACCTTATTTATTATTAATTGTGGTTTGATATAACAGTATATAACTTTATGTGAGATTGATTCTTCAATACTTATTGTTTATATTCGGATGTAGTTTATATCTACAAATAAGT